TCATCAAAATCCAATCAAACATCAATGTATCAGATCCTGTTAAGTTCGTTCCAGCAGTTAAATTACAAACGTTTTCTCTGTAGACAGCTCTTGTCTCACAGTCGGCTCCACATAGACTCGGAGTAAGACTTGTTTTGATTATAATCAGGCTGTATGGTATTGTCTATGGTTCGATTGTTTGTTCATGCTTTAACAATGATTTGTTTTGAAGTTATTTGTCCTGAGAGCAACCCGTTGAAACGCCCACACGTTCCAGTTTTTTGAATTGAAAACACCCCCCCGGATGGAAAGCAAACTAACAGAAAAGAAGTCCAGTGGCTTTGTTTTAAAACTCTTGGGATTCAACAAGTCCTGGATGACTGAGAATCGACACCAACATATGTTCTGGAAATAAAGTCCAACTTTGATGAACCCAAAATGATATATTGCTTGTTCTCCAACGGAATTTAAAACATTAGAAAATCTACGGCGTACTAAAATGAGGGAACAAATCTCTATTTTTTATTTTACTATTGGCACTTGCTGGGCTCCATATACTAATGCAGATAAATGGGAAAAGAAGGGAAACTAGAAAGCACAAGACAAAAGATTTTATACTCATTTTTATTTGCAAAGTAAAGGATTGTGCAAACTCTTTGTAACAAAAGAATGAAYAAATTATACAAATTAAACAATTAGCTGCAAAATGAACTCGCGCAATATTTAACATCTGACAAGAATGGATCTTAACTACGGAAGAGGATTAGGGCCACAGAGAAAAAAAAGTTTATTTTTTCCTGAGTTCTGACTTTTTTCTCATAATTCTGACGTTTATCTCAGAATTCTGAGATAAAAGTCAGAACTTAGGATTTTTTTTTTTTTGTGGCCCTAATCCTCTTCCGTACAATCATTAAATTTCACTTTAAGAGCTAATATTTTGTCATTTAACTATAAATTTAAATGTATGCTTTCCACGTTAGAAATAAACATGTTTTGGTAAGGCAACCAGCATTATGAGTAAATAAATTATTAAATTTATCACATTATGTGTCTAWTTTGTTTCTGGATGGCTTTTGTTTGTTGAAAGCAGATTCTTACCGCCGCACTCGGACAAGTTTCGAGCGCCGACCACCTTGGACACGTCTCTTCCTTCAGGTGAAGGACAGAGCTCGCAGGACATCTGTCCCTCCTCGTCCTGATATGTTCCAGCTGGACACAGCACACACCGTCCCTGATGTCCGTCGTGGTACGTCCCAACGCTGCAGCTCACTAGCAGATAAAAAAAAAGACAGCTGCTAAAAAACATGGCCTCCAGCTGAAACTGATGCTCGACAAGAAAGACACACCTTCACACTAAATATGATAAGACAAAAATCAGACTGTTACATCTGAACATGTAATTAAGCAAGAAAACAGTGTCAGGGAGCATTCAAGCATATATAAATTAAAAAAAACATTTAAGAAGGGAAAACTTTGTGAGATGCAGGCATGACTGAACACATACAGCAGTTTGCCCCATGGCAGCACATAATTAAACAGTTCTCACCACAGCGCAGATAAACACAACATATTCAGCAGTTTAACTGTATGACAAGAACATTTAAAATAATTTAGACTTCAGCTGCCTCTCCTGTTTAATCAGGAAGGGCCTGGTGCGGACAGGAAATGAATAAACACACAGGCGAGCGGTAAAGTTTTAACACATCAAAGGTAAAACCTCAGCCTTATTTAAGAGTTTTACCTCTCCTTAAAACAGGTAAAACTTAAAACTTGTGGATCTGTTCTGTACATTRCAACATGGTGTAATGATGGTGTTTTTCTCCCCTTCTAACCTTCCACACCTTATTTTATTTTATATTTTACCAGTAATTTTATTCACTTAAGCAGGATTGAGTTACTACATTAAGGAGAATTTTTAATACCATACAATAAGCTTACATTTGTAACATCGAATGATATTTGATCATACTATGTGATATAAATTGTATGTCTTACTTCTGTGAAACTAAAAACTATGGTTTGTGAGCTTTTGTCTTGTGAGCATATGTCAGAAACTCATTCTGCTCCTGCTCAGTAAATAAGTCTCAAAAGATTAAAAAAAACTTTTTGGCTGGATATAAGACTGTAAAGCTTGCTTAGATGGACAACTCTTGCAGAGTATAACATTTCAGCGCAATGAAGGGAAACCTTTATTGCCTCCATAAGCCCCCTCACCTCTTTTAAAAGCAAACATGGAGGAAATTCAAAGAGAGCACGTCCCTCTTATCTTACAAAAGTGCAAAGCCTTGATTATAGGGACCAAAACTCAGGTTTGCTTTGATTCCTCCCATTCAGAACCATGCCTGTAATTAATTTGAGAATTACTGTGTCTGCGCGATAGTTTAAAAGAACTTGACTTAAACTCAGAAGTTGATCTGAAACAAGAATAAATCAATTTAATCCCTTTGTGCAGAACGTGGCACAGATGTAGCCTTTAAGTTGTGCGTGCATGTGTGTGTGTGTGTGCAAAGCACTGGCACCTCTAAAAGCTCAACAGCTTGAAGGTAGATCTATTATACGTGGCTCAGCAAACTGTTAAATTTTTATCCAAATGGGGAAAGTGTAATTCTATCAAGAGCAGTTCATTTTGGAAGGCTATTGTTTGTTGTGAAAGACCACAGGGAGCCATCAGCGCATTGTCCTCTAACAGCTTTTATTTGACAGAGGGAAACAGTGAGGGAAGAGGAGAGAGTGAGAGTGAAAGAGGGAGAGAGAGGAAAAAAAAACCTTGAAGCCTTTCAAATGCAAACAACACTTCTATAGAGTCCTCGAATTGATGGCCTCAAAGAGGTTTTAAAAGACCTTTCACCTCTATTCAAGTCCCCGGTTTTTCGCCTGCTTGATGACATTGGAAAACAGTCCCGTATCACAGCGGTGAGGAGCTGAACCCAATAAAAGGGGGAGGGGTTTCTGAAGGCCCACATTCTGCTCGGCCCAATCACCTCTCGCGCCTGTCCAGAGGAGGCCCAAACAGCTGATGCTAATTGATTCCCATGGTGTGGCTGAAGTCAATTCTCTTTAGCAGTTTAGTGGCTTGGGGTCATGCAAAGTGGCCCCAGCTGGGAGGAGGGGGTGGGGGGTCGCCAGCACTTTCTAAACATCTTCAACGTTAAAGAGATCCAGGATTAGTTGTAACATTAGACTTTATTTGATAAACATATATTTTAACTGTAAAATAAAGACTGTAAAAATACTGTAGGGTGTTCAGTTTTTATCATTTTTAAACGGAAAGTTTAAAAATATAATACACGGACGGGGCCATTTTATTTACACGCAAAGCATTCTGAGTAAATGATGACGTGGATAGGTCCTCGGTG